GCAATCCCTTCTCCTCCATTCTCCTCTTGGGATCTTGGGCACACACACACACGTGCCCGGCGTGAGTTTAGGCGAGCGGGTCCGGGACGCGAACCACGGTCGACTACGTGGGAGTCCAGCGACATAGCCATTACGCTAACTGCTGGTTCCCTTCATGCAGCATTTTAAAAGTTGAAAAGTACTCAAGGGCCAGCACTGTGGCCTAGTGATTAAGGGAACTTGATCCCACATGGCCAACTGTGCAATTAAAATCTCTGCCCCTTGGCTTAAAAAACACGCTGGGCACATGTGCATGCCTCTAAATTCTGACAGGATGGAGAAATGAGGAGAAGGGTATCACCATGCCCCATTAGGGGGTACTTTCTTCTCTCCTCTCCCTCTTTCTCTGTCTCTCTCTAGTGAGCACACATACCCTCTGGCAAATTATTTTAAAAAGTATCTTAGGGGTCAGCAGGTGGTACAGTGTGGTTAAGGCATTAGACTCCCACATGGCCAACCACAGTTCAAACCCTGGACATGGTGGCTTGAAAATCATGCTGGGCATGTGTGTGTATGTGCACAAAATCCCAAGGAAAGGGATTGTGACATGGACTACCCCCCCTCCCCAGGGAGGGAGGGTCAGGGAGGGCCACTATTTTCTCATTTTCCGTCTTTCTGTCTTTGGCGAGCACATGCACTCTATGGAAACAAAAAATACCAAAAAAAAGTATCTCAAAAAGAGGATTTGCTTTTACAATTTTGGTTTGGCATTTTTTTTTTTCTACCTAAGAAACTTGGCTAATCCTAGAAACAAACAAACAAAACAAAAACTGCTCTTTACTCCCTACTAATAAATTACTACTATGGAATTAGTTCAGTTGAAAGTTTTAAAAGATCTATTACATGGTGTGCTTAAAGATTTGAGTTAGTGTATCTCCCATATCCCTTCCTACTTTCAGGAATTAGCTTGCTAACAGGAGAGAGAATAGCATTTGATTCCCAAAGGAAAATCTTCTACACTAACCAGTATAGACTATTCTGCCTCCTAAACTCTACCTGAAGCCTGAGTAAACTTCCAAAACCAAGATGTGGAATAGATATAAAAAACTTATCTATAATCTAGATAACAGAGGAATGGATTTTAAGAGCAAATGATTAACAGAAGTGTTGCAGCTTATTTTTTTGTTTTTATTTTAAGTTGGGTGTGAAGGCTACATTCCTTCAACACTCAAGTGAGTTTCAACTAGATTCCAGTAGCCATAAGAAAGAATCTCAGTATAAAGTAAACAAAGGAAATAGTCAAGTCTCTAATTACATGGGGTGGAGGGAGGTATGCCATCTATTTAGAAACAATGCTTTCTGGGGGGTGGGGACAGATGATCTAGCCTCCTCCCCAGGATATTTGAAAGACATGAGACAAATCTCATGAAGTTCTGTGTTGACGAGATATAAAAAATAATGTGACCCTAGAGTTATAGAATCCAATAAAAATTCAATGACACTACTGAATGTCACATAGGTATGGATACAGCTAGTTTTAAGAGTAGTGGAAGAAACAGATATAAATTACAATGTTTGTTCCCTGCCACTGAGTTTTAAATTGAGATTTTATGTTGGTACATTTTCAACTGAAATCAAATAAAACATAAAATATCTCATAGATAATACTTTATGGTATATCATAAATTTAAAGCTACATCTTCCTAAAGGGAGTTTCCCATGTTCCCCAATCTTTCACCTCAGTTCAAGTGATGATGCCTTGTACAAAATCACACCGGGCAGCTTGAGACCCGTGGGAGTAAATGAGAAAGGTCATAAACACAGACATGTTCCCAGCACTCACCGGTCTCAGATTTCTTGTCCTTTGTTGAAGAAGTACCACATCCCATGATTTCTATATCATGTATGTTCATGAATTCAACTTTGAATTTGAATACTGAGTGTGAAAAATTCCTCCTTTATGCTGAGAAGAGTCACTCGTAGCTGATGCCCTTCAGTCATAGATACTAATGAGGGAGACACAGGAGGGAGGGAAAGAAACCGCCAGTTAGCAACATGGGAGCTAAGGGCTGCTCAGCAGGATTTATTTGATGCTTCTACTGAATCGCTGTTTATCATGCGATGTGGAAAGTGATCAGATATAATCCTGGTTTATTTTCTAAAACACAGAAGCATCTACAGAGTAGCTAGAGATCGCTTTTCATGTATACATAAATTACAGTTTCCCCATGTCTAGGTCACATCAAGCTCTGTTTTTGTTTTATTTTGTTTTGTTTTTAAGCATTAAAAATTAAAAGAAAAACTGACATGTAACAGTTTCTCACTAAAATATAGTGGATAGGCAGGGAGGAGCTGACATCATGTAAGCTGGGTTTTAAGCTCAAAGTAATTAAATCTATCTGGGCTTTTAAAATCAAAAATTGGAGGCTGTGTGTGAGACAAAAATAATGTATTTAAACAACTATGCCAAAATTCAAATCAAAATGAGTTATTTGTTCTGACAATGCTTCTCAGAATTATTTGGGGGTGCTCATTTAGAAAAAAGGGACTCAAGACCTCCCCCCACATTGAGGAATCATTATCTGTGAAAGTTCTCCCCCCTTTTTTTTGCCAGAGGGCACATGTGCTCACCAGAGAGAGAAAAAGAGACATAGAGAAAGAGAGAAAGATGGAGAGGGAGTAAGTACTTCCAATGTGGCATGCTCATACTGTATTCTCTCCTCCATTGCTCTATCCAGTCAGGGTTTTGGGGGCATGCATACACATGCACACACACACACACACACACACACACACACACACACTCATACACACACATGCTCTGTTTTATTTTTTCACGCTAGGACCAGGATTCAAACCACTTGGTTGGCCCTGTGAGATCTAACTCCCTTAACCACTAGGCCCCAGGGCTGGATCACAGTGCCCTTTTTTATTTATTTTTTATTTTTTTGAGAGGTTTTTGCTATAGGGCACATACACTCGCCAGGAAGAGAGAGAGAGACAGAGAGACAGAAAGCGAGAAATCACCCCCCCAGAGGAGATGGCCACACAGCAATCTCTTCTCCATTCTCCTCTCGGGATCTTGGGCATGCACGCACACACACCCAGGTCTAGGACTCAAACCACATTCGACTACATGGGAGTCCAGCAACATAGCCATTATGCCCACTGCCGGTCCAGCACAGTGCCCTTTTAAAACAAACTCTTCAGGCATGCTGAGGTCCCTCTGGAGTCTGCCCTGAGCTCACTAAGCCTCTGATGACTTTGGTGAATTGGCATTTCCAGGATCACTTGATGAGAGTTTTGTACAAAAACCCTTACTGTAGTATACCATTTCATTGTTTTGGGGGGTGATGTTGCCTTATTTTGCGATGCTCCAAACCAGTCTGATCTTTCCTTGATAGGACCAAAGTCAGAGGACAACTGACTCTGGACTCTACCTGGTATGTCCATTTTTCCATGACTACTACACTAAAAGCCTCAAAATTACAACTCAACTGAAGAGAAAACTAAAATGAGCAAAATATTCCACAAGTAACTTTCTTTGTAAATATGCCTTGAATCTCTGACACCTCCACAGTGTCCTTCACATAGCAGGTGTCTGATAAATGCTAAATGAATGACTGAATAAAATAATAAATATTTCTAAGCCAGGGTAGTTAAAAAATTAATTGTTGAAAATCACTATTAGCCCATTATTTGATACATAGATATGCATTATTTGATTATATAAAAGCCTTTTTATTAAACCAGAAAATGGGTAGTGCTTACATAAATCCATTTTTAAAGAAAATTTAAAAGTCATGATGGAAAGAGATTATAATTATTCTAGATTTCTTTGGTTGTCTATTAGAAAAAATAATTGGCTTTTCAAATTTTTAGATTATTAAATAAGCATTAAGCTATTTTAAAATTGTTTTTCTTTCTAAACTAACAGATAAAAGAGTCAGCTCTTTTTTTTTCTTTTTTTGAGAAATATTTTTGCTAAAGGGCACATGTGCTTGCTAGAGAGACAGAAAGCAAGAAATCACCCCCCATGGGGGGTGGCCATGCCACAATCCCTTCTCTTCCATTCTCCTCGCAGGATTTTGGGCACACATATGGGCTTGGCGTGAGTCTTTAAGCCGCCGGGTCTGGGACTGGAACCACGGTCGACTACGTGGGCGCCCAGCGATGTAATTATTACACCATCTGCTGGTCCCTCTTTTTTCATTCTTATTAAAACCTGAACTGGTTAAAGCTGGTTAAGGTGCTCCTTACCTTACCACTCCTACATGCTGCCCAGCCTAGGTTTCAAGGTGGAGAGGGGTGAGTTTGTAAGCTGAGTGTGTGGGCCTTTGAGGACACTTCTGACTATAAAGCTGATAAACGATTTGAAGATTTTCCATTACTTGGTAAAATCTAAGCTTCTTCCATTTTGTACCCTCTGTCAGCATTAGAAAAGCACTTCGTGCACTAAAGAAGTCTCTGAACAAGTGATTCCTGGCGCCTAATAGGAGTTCTCAGGCTCAAGAGGTGGGAGGCTTTTGCAGGTTCACAAAGATCCTAGGATGCCCCAGTCAGTGACAAACCACTGATGTGGATCTTGGCCAAAAACAGCTGACCGCTGCCCGGCATTGCTGCCCCTCCCAGTATATACCAAGGACAGTTTTAAAGAATAAACATGAAGTAGTGACTCATCCTTGGCACTCATGTATAATCTGCAAAACAAAAGAAAGGCTTTGGCTAACAGGTTTTTTACTGTGTACGTGTGTTGGGGTGGGGGGAATTAGAGGGTGGAACCAGTCCATCCCAACCACATTTCATTTCCAAAGCTGAAAATACAAAGAAAGAACCAAAAATGGCCCTTTGGGGGCAATTCGACCTCCACCACCAAGCACCAAGTGCTAGCCCAGCCTCCCCAGATTGTTCTTATTCATTCTAAATGTTATTATATTTCAAAGGGCATCTCTATCCCACTCCCACAACTTGGTTCTGCCACCTGAGCATGATTCTGCCTCTGGCATTTTAGATGTCAGCTGTGTAGCTCCCCATGCCAAAATCTTAGCTTTTCCTAGAGATGTTGGCTTTTGTGAGAAATTCCTACTCTAGCTCTGGCCCTGAGGAACTCCAAACCAGAACTCATAGTCATTCAATTGGTACCAACACCCACTCGCCCCCAGTCATCACAGTGGGACTTCAGTAGACAGGTCTAATTCTTTCCCTTTGGACTGTGTAGACACTAGCATGGAGGATAGATACTTTATTAGGCTCACCTTTCTGCATTTTCTTTAGTATTCATTGAAGCAGAAACTTTATAACCTGATGTCTATGGCCTAAATATAATGAAGGGACATAGGGTGTGATAGAGGATTCCTTGGCAGACCACATTAAAGCGGTCCCTACTACCACTACCTTTCCAGCAGAACACTTTAGCATTTGCTGATATCTGGGGTCCAAAGTGAATAAAGGGAGGTCTGGTGATGAGGTGGTGATCCTTCCTTGGTCTCATCAAGTGAAAGGAAGAAAAAGGGAAGAAACTATAGCAATCACCAAAAGGTATCTGAAGGTAACCATTGATAACATCAGACATGCTTGGTATCAGGAAGCAGCTTGGCCTGGTGCTAGGTTTTCTAAAGAGTGTTTGGGGAAAAGTAGCTGTGTGTGGCTTACAACCCTAGGAATAAGGTCCCAAAAGGCCTTACCATCAGATAAATATAGGAAAGGTAGACAGGTTTCTTTATTGCAGAACTTCTCATAGCCTTCAATATATTAATATGCATTATGAATCTCTGAGAAAGAGTTAACTACTGTTTCCCAAATAGCCTAAAAGGGGATCCTTTTGAAATAAAGCATCTCTAAAACAACTGTTGTCCCTAACTGCTTAACACTGGCCCAGTGGAACCTTGGGTTTAAAAGTCAGACAAACCAGTGTGTGAATTCTCAGTTAATCATTAATTCTGTTTCCTCATAAGAAAATAATCATAATACCTTACTGACTTATACTGAGGACTTAATGAACAGCTCAGTGGTGGAAAACTGGTTTGGACAAAGAACAACTTTTCTTAGCTGATCTGAGTTAGGAGGGGCCATGCATGGGTAGGTGCTTACTGTGTTTGCTCAAATATTTTCCTTTAGAATGCTTGCCTGGGGTCTTCCAGAGACCAAACCCATTGGGTACGTACAGGTTCTGGGATAATCAGAGGTCCCCTAAATAAATGGGCTCTCTTCCTTAAGAGCTCTGAAGAAAACTGCATCAGTAATAATAATAGTAACAATGATAGCTAAAATCACTACTATTTATTAAGGGACTACTGTCTACCCAGTACAGAGGTGCTTTTTATTTCCTATTACTCCAGTTAATCTTCATAGCAAACTTTCAAGGTAGTACCATCACCTTCATATCATAGATGAAGAAACTGAGATTCAGAAATTAATTATCATACTCCCTGGCACAGCTGATGAGTAGCAAAACTGAAGATTTATTCTGTTTAATCATTAAAGAACAAAAATTCTGTCCACTAAAAGGCTGGCTATGCCTAATGATTTTACGACCCAATCTGAACAGTCTATGTAAGAACTAAATGACTAACGAGAATTACTGAACATTGCAAGGAACTCTGCTTCCATTTCTTCTGGATGTGTGGAAACCCTGTGGTCCTAAGGCTACAAGAGGCCAAGGGAACTAAAGGAAGATTTCTAAATACGAAGTTGTATAGAACTACAATCCAACTGTGTGCAAATACCCCACCAAGGACCCTTCTCAGAGTAGCCCTATCCTCATTTTCGAGCTCTCACCCACATGACCACAGAGTTTTTGCAAACATCAAGTTTGTTTGAAATACAGTACAACTCTTCGGTTTGCAAAGTCATCTATCCACCTTTAAAAAATGATGACAACTGATTTACAGTCAGCATCTCAGAGAAAAATCCTTCGGAGAAATTGCAAAGCAATAAAATATACTGCAAGGACTGCACATTTCCAGTTCTGTTGCCACACTATCTATGTTTATAAATGTAGAATCCTGCTTGCCTAAAATGTCTAAGAACAAACAAACAATCAGATTACCTGTTTCTTCTGCTTGGCCACTGTAGAGGCTTTTCCTCACCCCAGGTGTTCCAAGAGAAACAAAGATGACAAAAGACTTTCTCTATGAGGGAATGCAGAAGTCTGAAAGAAAAGAGACACAATTCCAGCTCTCTCTGAAGCACAGCACCACACACACACACACACCACTCACATCTTTGCAGGAAGAGCTCTTACTTAAATAAATGAATGTATACACACACATCCGCAAAGAAATAACTAAAACAGAGCCAGGCTGCTTTGCCTTTCAGCCTGTAGGGAGAGCCCAGAGCCCCAGATCTGGGAGAAGCTGAGCTGGCCCATGAGCTGCAGTTCTCTGTCCCAACCCTGCTCTGTTCCTGGCCTGGAGATAAAGGGATGTGCTCCAGTAATGGGCTGCAAAGTCAGCGATCACATGACTGCTTCCAAGGGGACCAGGCTCTGTACAGGCAGGACCAGGCTGCTGTTTGTATAAATCATCTGTATCGATACAAAGTAGAAAAGAGAATTTTAGTAAAGAAGGGCGGAAAAGCATGTTCTGGGTCAACTGAGGATAATTTGTAGAAAACATTACAGTGACCTGAGTAGAATTAAGAGAAGGA